GAAATTTCAAGTAATTCGAGAGGAATTAAAATTTAATGTAAATTCTATGAAAATTTCACATCTTATTCCTTTTTCAGAATAACATAATTATTCTACCGAAATTCCATTAAATTGTGGAATTCTGAGATTTTAATAGATTTTTTGAGAATTGCAAAGAATATTTGGGAATTTTAAAGGAAATATTTTTCAGAAATGTCAATGATAACCTATAAATCGAAATTTGATAAAAACATATGGCAACGCTGCTCATGATACAACAAACGTCAAAAAATTGAAATATCAAAGTAGGCCTTGGTTTTTTTTGACAGTCGATATAAAATGGCGTCGTTTTGTTTCAAAGATTACGAGCCGAAGAGCCAAAGTATTAAAATCAGTTGACAATAAACGGGTTCGTATAATTCCGACCCTTCAAGCTCGTATAACCTCGGACCTTCAGCCTCATGATTAAAATAACTTCGGCCTGTCGGGTTCGTATAACTCCAGCTTTTCGGGCTCGCATATAACTCCGGCCCTTCGGGCTCTCACATAACTCCGGCCCTTCGGGCCGGGTTTTTTTTTTAAATTCCGAAACCAAAGAGTGAGGATTTTATAAACATTCGTGCGTATTATGAGACAAAAACTCTTGCAAATAATTAAGTACATCAATTCTTTTCCAATTTTAATGAAAATCGACTATTGAAAATGGAGAAAAAAACAGTTTTGCAACGCAGCATTTCGACTTTGATATATAACGACATTTGACAAACTTGTCAAAATAGTGACAGCTGTCAAGACTGATCAAACAACGATTATAAGTTTGATTGTTTAACACCAAATTGATTTTTTTTTTTTGTCAATTGTCAATTAAACAACTGTCAAAAGTGATTTACAAACTAATGCAATGTTGCCAATAATTACATCAATTATTTTAATGTAAAAAAAATGTATTTCTATCTCTATTTTATACAAGCTGATAGAAAAGACACACAATAGAATTCGCTAAATAATTTAAATCAACTTGTAAAATGACAGGAAATAGTGCAAAGTATTTCGTTTTTTAATCGTCAATGTCACTTGTCACATTTATTAGTACGACATATGACCAGATGTCAACTGTCAAAGTTATTGTTTATTATTGCCACTTTTGGCGTCACTATGTCACATGTAATTCAATGATAGATGTCACTCGATATCGTTAGAATTCACCTTAAAGTGTCTGTTATTCTTGACCTATTTCAGTATAAATGACTAATGACAATTTGCTCTGGAGGGCAAACATTAATTTATAACCAAAAAAAATAATGACATTATTTTGGCATTTTTCACTTTAAATTTGACAACAAAATGATTGGTTGCCCTCCAGCGTGACGTCATACCAAAATAGTCACTTATTCGTTTAGTCGAATTGACGTCATTCGTTGGTTACAATTTAGACAGATGAACGATATGTCAAATGTCATTTTGTCATCTATTGCAACTGTCAAAGTTGTAATTTCAATCTCGAAATCAATCGCCTACTTTTCAATATTGGTGACCAGATGGACGATGAGTTAGATATAGATAAAATGTTGTACGTTACCTCAAAATATTACTTCTTCTGTATTACCGACCCAATGTTGTCAGTTCTTTTAGCAGTGCAAAAGTATTACAGAGTTCTGTATTACCGACCCGAATGTTATTCAAAGGCCTGCTTAATTAAGCAAGCGACGTTGCCGTATGATAGAAATAATCTCGAAAGATTTGAAAATATCATCATTTTAAATAAGATTTTGGTCCCAAAACTCTCACTGGCAATTGACGTTTGTTTAATCATTTCGCCTACAATATCGCTATCTCACTTGTTTGAGTTCACTGGCCAATCGAATAAAATGAAATGTCGTACGTCACGTGACAACAAGAGAATCGAATAAAATGAAATGTCGTACGTCACGTGACAACAAGAGCCGGGAATAATCAAAATTTGCAAGTTTTGAATAAAATTTTGTACGCAACCTGTAATACCGACATCCATCCAAAGCCTACTTGATTCAATCATTGTTGACAATATCAACAACTAATTTTTTTTTGACAGTTGACAGGACTTAATGTGTCACTTTTCGGTAATTTATTGGTAAAGTTTGGTCAACCGGTTGAATTTGTCATTTGTCAACTAATGATATAAATAAAACGGTTGACAAATGACGTTTGAATGAATCTATATTGTTTTTGATTGGTAGAATTAGTGCAAAAGAAAATCTTGTTTCTTTTTAGCAGGATGAAAGAAAGAAATGGAAATACACTCGGTGAGCAAAAAAAATGTACCTACCAATCGAAAATGGTAGTATACGTTGACAATTGACAAATGACGTTTCGCATTCGAATATTTCGCCTATACTACCGGACAGTAAATTTCCCGCTTCAAATAATAGAATAAATGACGTTTGACACATGGTCCGTCTCTGTCAAACAAATAATTGTGACCAACCAATGTCGTCATCAATTGAAAGTGACAATTGCTGTGTTATCGAACGGCATTTGACACATCTGGAATCTATGACGTCATCAAATTACGTGTCAAATTCAAGCAACAACATCGAAGCAAAAAATAAGTAGACGATTAATTTCAAAATTGACATTAATAGTAGTTGCAGTGGGTGACAGATGACATTTGACGTCCAAAATAATAAACAAATAACGATCAATCAAAAACACATTTCTGACACATTAAATGTTAATTATGTGTCAACGTCAAATTTGACTCTTGATAGTTAAAAATATAATAAATTAACAATGACGTCGAATAATTAACACAGTAAGAAATGTCAATCAGTTAAGGCCTCAAATCGTGTTTCATCTCTGTCTGTTTGTATGCAACAAACAAGGACAAACGTACTTTTTTTTTTCTGGAAATTCATAGACTATTTTCAAGTGCCTAAAATCGATTAAAAAATTTATTTTTAAATATTACATAAAATTGCTGAAAATGACGTTATTTTAATTCAATATGGCGGCGTGGAAATAACACACCACGTTTACATTCAAATTGCAATCGATTTGAATTGAATGTAAAAGCACTAGTTTGTTATGCCCACGTCGCCATCTTGTATAATCAGCTTAATTGAAAACTATAAAATTCAAGAGCCGGGAATAGGAAAAAAAATTGAATTTCCCGCTTTGAATAATAATATGACAAATGACGTTTGACTCTGTCAAGCTTGAGCAAAAATACAAATATTGGGTAAATAATTATTGTGACATATTACTTTGGCAGTTGGCAGTTGTGTCATCGAATAACTTTTTTTTTGTTTTTTATCTCCAGTATATGACGTCACCAATTACTTTTCAAGTTTAAATTTTTCCATTGATACGTCAAAAATTTAATAAACAAACAATGACAAATCGAAACAAATATTAGACCATCAATCAAGATTGACATTTGTAATGAATGACAAATGACGTATGACATAAACTAATAAAAGTACCATCGAACATGGTTTGACATATAGTTAAAAAAAAATTGGTACTTCTTACGAATTCGTCGAGGCTAAATCTATATGTCCATGTAGGTTTTTTTTTAAATTTTGACAGCTGTCAATTTCAAAAAAAATTCTTTTGTTTCTTCCAAAAAACAAAGGTCGTTTTTTAGTGGGTTTTAGGGTGAGATTTATGTAGCAACAGTTGGCACAAAAAATTCAATTTCCCGTTGGGTTTGGAATTTTTGAATTTTCCCGGCTCCTGATTGGTTTGGGGATTCGAATTTTGTTTATTCTCGGCTCTTGATTGGCTTTAAAATAATCTATATTAGTTAACAATGAACGGATTCGACCAATAGAATTATAGACTGAGTCCCGTAATTAAAATAACTCTAGCCCTTCGGGCTCGCGTATAACTCCGGCGCTTTGGGCCGGGTTCGCATATAACTCCGGCCCTTCGGGCCGGGTTCGCATATAACTCCGGCCCTTCGGGCTGGATTCGCATATAACTCCGGCCCTTCGGGCCGGATTCGCGTATAATTCCGGCCCTTCGGGCCGGGTTCGTATATAACTCCGGCCCTTCGGGCCGGGTTCACGTGTTAATTATTATTTTAATTAGGAATCAAGAATAAAAAAATTGAGATTAAATTTTCAATTTTTTGGGGGAGGTTTAGCCTCCCCTGCCTCCTCTGACGAGCCGCCACTGTGGAAAACTGCTCGTGGATTTTCTTTCGTGGAAAACTGCTCGTGGATTATACTCGTTTGACGTTCATTAACTTTCGTGGATTGTACTCGTTTCTCAACTTTCGTGGAAAATACTCGTTTAACTTTCGTGGAAAACTTCGTGATATTTTGTCGCTGCTATCGTGACTGACTGACACACTTGACTTGTTACTACTACACTCCGCTTTTTCAATCCGGTTCGAAAGGTACCAATGTTTCGTGATATACTGGATTCTACGAAGGACCACCTAACTGTTGTTAGGAAATTAAACACTTGTTTTTCTGAGACTGAACTTTTCCATAATTTATTCAGTATGGTAGTACAAGCATGCACAACTACAGCAACAACAACTTACAACGCTTCGTTTTCTGATAATAATCATAATAATTCTGACCACACAGGTTATGTTTCTCTAACTGTCAACAAAAATGGCTTCACGCTCCCGCTCTTTCTTCTTTTCTTCTTTTTTTTATTTTATAAAGGCAACAAACCAAGAAATTATTTAAATTTGCGAGCCAAAGCGCCGTTGCCACGTTGACATAAAATAAAAATAATAATCAAAAAATGTACACAATTATTATCTGATAAAAACAAAACAATAAATTGAATAATAGTGTAGCTTGGAAAATTTTCCTATAACATTTTACCTATTGGAAAATTTTTCCATGAACTTTTATTGGAAAATTATGTTATAAAATTTTTCTATGATTTTTTTAAAAAATTTAGTAGTTTTTGCCCCTCCCCTGTATCCGCCACTGTTTCAAATCGCTGACAATCTAGCGCCAACAGCAGCCCAATGCAATGCACTCGATGGACCTCCTGTCTTTATTAGTATTAACGTGTTGGGTGATTAGACCGCTGTTCTTTTCAGTTTCTTGCAGTTTATTGAGTTCCACGTTCGTAGTAAGTACCAATTAATATTTTTCCAATATGGATAGAAAAAAAGAGCAACTAATTAGTGCGGTTTTCCAAAAACCAGCATTGTGGGATGGAAGTAAGAAAGCACATTATAACATATATATTTTGAAAGAGTGTTGGAATCAAGTCGCATCTACATGTGAAATTACAGGTAAATAATAAAAATCGTAGGATTTTAATAACCTGCAATAATTATTAATGTAGGTATGTGAAATTAACGGCTTTTTTCGAAAGGTAATTTTTGAAATGGGAGGTATTATTTTATTGTAAATAAGGCGAATTTGGATTTGCATGACAAAAATTAATACATATTTAGATCATGTTGTGAGTAGGTAATAACAAAATACCGTCCGGCGGCGAAAATATAAACCTGCGTGATGGCGCTAGTGTCTTAGTAAAATCAGTCGTTTCTGCGATTAAATTAATTTAAAACACTAAATGCATTGTCGCGTATTTGCTAGGCTGCGTTGCCAAGTTGTCTTTTGTATAACAAATTAAATGCCTGTGTTTTATATAGGTACTTTTTATACATATACCTACCATAGAATAGGAATATTTTATAATTTAAAAAAAATAATAAATAGATAAATAGTTATGTATTTTTGTGGGTAGTAATTTTCTGTTACTAATAAATAGAGGAATAAAACACAAAAATTGTTTCTGTCTGTGTGTCTACCTATGTCCGTTATAGACTTTGAAACTATCCGATCGATGTGCCTCAAACCAGTTTAATGTTTAATATGAAAGGCAATAATAATAGGAAGGTTTTAGACCGCTAATGACAGGTGTCAACTGTCAAATTGAGACAGTTGCAGATTGAACCATATCTTCACAACGGATTTTGCTGAAATTTAGCATACACTTCAAGTTCAGGTGATTAGATGATACTACATTTTAGATCACTAATGACAGGTGTCAACTGTCAAATGTGACAGGTGCAGATTTTTGAACCATTATTTCACAACGGATTTTGCTGAAATTTTGCATACACTTTAAGTTCGGATGATAATACAATTTGGAATACTCAACACCAACACTCAAATGTAATTTTTGACAGCTGTCAAAATATGACAGGTCGAGAGGTGAACAGGTTGTCAGGACTACCCCCGTCTTTGAAAATTTGCTTTTTTCGACAAATAGACAAATTTCAAAAATAAATAACCCATAATTTTGCACACCGATTTTCAAAATTTGCACACTCTTCTAGGAAAAGTTATGAGGTGTGATAAATGTGCACTTTTTTCCCCGTTTATCTGAAACTTGAAAAATTCTTATGCTACTCGCTTCGGCTAATTTTGCACACCTTATTTTTAATTTTACACATTCCTCTAGGAGTTGAATGTTGTATTAATTTGCACGTTTTCCCCCGTTTGTCAAAAAATTGAAAAACCCTTGCTACTGGGTTCACTCAATTTTGTACGTTTATTTTCAACCCGAATTGAGCAACATAAAAATTTTTAATTTTCTCAAAAAACCGGCGGAAAAGTGCACATTTTGCAAAATTTGAAAATAGGTGTGCAAAGTTGTGCAAAATTAGGTGAACCTAGTAGCATAAGGATTTTTCAACTTTTTGAAAAACGAGGGGGGGAGGGGAGAGTGGGGAGACAAGCATAGGATCTTTTAATTTTTCGACAAACGGGGGGGAAAGTGCAAATTTTTAATGCCTTAATAACTTTCCCCAGAAACGTGCGCAAAATTGGCCAAAGCGAGTAGCATAAGCGCAACTAGGCTCCAAATTTGAGGGGTGTTGCAGCACCATTTTTTGTGGGCAGGTACTTACGTCATCATTTGCCTTTTTTTAAAAAAAATTGATTTTTTTATATCTGAAATTTCAAACAAACATATAGTTTGTTTTACGGCACACAAGACGTCATCGATGACGTCATAACTTAGAGAAAAAGTTATGTCATAGATTAATTCATGGAGCACCTTCGGAATTATTGTTTTGTAATACATTTTTTAACTTAGAAGAGAATTTATTCAGTTATCCGAAAATATATAAATAAAATTTCTCCTAGAGTGATTTTTCACTGTAAATTTTTGAAATTTTCCTTCTGCCAATTTTCCAGAAAAAATTTAAAATTAAAAAAATGAATTTTGGTTAAAAGTTAGTTTTCCAGAATTTCTTCTGGAGTGATTTTTTACTGGAAAATTTTGAAATTTTTATACATACATATAATGAACTTCTCACTTTCCTCTTTCTCCTGTAAAAATTTCAAAATTTTTCTTCTGCTAGTTTTCCAAAAAAAAAAAAAAATGTGAGAGGATGAATTTTCCTTAATTTTACTTGAAAAAGTCGATTTTCCAAGTGATTTCTCACTGGAAAATTTCGAAATTTTCCTATAATGAGCTCCTTATTTTCTTCTTTCTCTTGGAAAAATTTCACAACTTTTGCTTTATTAGTTTTCCAGAAATAAATTGAAATGTGAGAGGATGAATTTTCCTTAATTTTGCTTAAATAAGTCAATTTTCCAGAATTTTTCCTGAAGTGATTTTTTACTGGAAAATTTGGAAATTTTGTTTTAAGGAGATCCTCACTTTCCTCTTTTTTCTGAAAAATTTCCACAATTATTCTTTTGCCAGTTTTCTAGAAAAAAACTAAAATGTAAGAAAATGAATTTTGCTTAAAAAAGTCAATTTTTCCTTAGTTATTGCATTTTCGAAAAACTCATAATTTTCGTAATTCCCCCGTAACTTTTTCGTAATTTTCCCATAACTTCAAAAATCATAATTTTTTCGTAATTCCCGTAATTTTTTGTACTTATTTTTAATTCTCCTAATTTTTTAAAAAACTTCGTTATTTTTAAATTCTCCCCAAGTTTTGTAATTTTCATAATTTCAAAAATTCGTGATTTTCATAATTCCTATAATTTTTGTAATTCTCTTTATTTTTATAATTCCAGTAATTTTTCGTAATTCCTACAATTTTCCGTAACTTTTCAAAAATTGCGAAAAAGTGAGTGTCAAAATTGCTGGAAAGTGACGTTGGAATAGAAGTAAAAATTACGGAAAAATGAGGTTGGAAATGTTGGAATTAGGCAATCCAACGACCTGTCCAAATGGCGTCTGGTTGGCAAACAATAAACAAAACACATATGTTTTTTTTTGGCAGGATTAAGCCTAGTACTCATAATTTGCTCTTTTGTGACATTGCATCGACAATTTGACATTGAAAAAAAGAATGAATTTTGCTTTTATGAGTACCAGGCTTTATCAATACACGAGACGAGTTCTCAAATCTGACACTTTTCTGACATCGTTGACATGTAAAAACCCGTATTCTAACCTCATAAAAATTTCAAAATGCCGGCTGGTTGGCAAAAGTCACGTGGTTTGGATTCCCTAATTGCGAAAAAGTTGAGTAAAAATGGCGGAAAAGCAAGGTTATAATCGAGAAAAAATGAGGTTATAAATACGAAAAACAAAAGTAAAGATTATGGAAAAATTAGGTTGAAATTGCGGCAATGTGAGGCGAAAATCGCGGAAAAGTGAGCTTATACTTATCGAAAAATGAGGAAAGAATAACGGAAAAGTGAGGCAAAATTCGCGGAAAATTTTGTTGAAATTGCGAGAAAGTGAGTTTGGACTTTGAAATTGCGGAAAAGTGAAGGTTAAATTGCGAAAAAAAATTGTTAAAAGCCGTTATTTCTCAAATAAATTTCGTTATTTTTATAATTTTTCCTTAGTTTTTGCAATTTTCGCAAAACTCCTAATTTTCGTAATTCCCATAACTTTTTACCTAATTTTCTTAATTTTTCGTAACTTTCCAAAATTCCCGTAATTTTTGAATAATTCCTGTTGTTTCTCAGTTTTTTAATTTCTGTAATTTCTCAAAATATTCAGTTACCTACTTATTTTATAATTCCCCCTAAGTTTTTGTTACTTTCAAAAATTCGTAATTCTCGTAATTTTCAAAAATTTTTTATTGTGAATTTTCATTATTTCCGTAATTTCTCAAATAATTCTCCCTATTTCTATAATTCTTCCTTAGTCATTGCAATTCTTGGAAAACTCGTAATTTTCGTAATTCCCGTAACTTTTTCATAAATCCCGTAACTTACCAAAAATTATCGTAATTTTTTCGCAATTCTCGTGATTTTTCCTTATCTCTTCCAATCTTTATATTTCCTGTAGTTCCTCAAATTTTCGTAATTTTGTAATTCCCGTAATTTCTCAAAAAAACTCCGTTATCTTTATAATTCCCCCCCAGTTTGTTGTGATTCTCAAAAATTAGTAATTCCCGTATTTTTTTTTTCTTGGAATTTTCGAAAATTCTTAAATTCCCGTCATTTTTCAAAAAATTCTCGTTAATTTCATAATTCCCCCTTAGTTTTTGCAATTTTCGGAAAATTCGTGAATCCTGTAACTTTTTGTAATTCTTGTTATTTTCGTAATTTTTTGAAAATTGTCACAATTTTTTTAATTCTCGTGATTTTTTCGTATTTTTCATAATTTTTGAATAATTCCTGTAGTTTTCAGATTTCCGTAATTTTTTAATTCCTGTATTTTCTCAAAAAACTCCGTTATTTTCATAATTTTGAAATTATATAAGTCTCGTAATTTTCGTATTTTATTTTGGGAATTTTCGAAATCTTGTAATTCCTGTCATTTCTCAAATAATTCTCGTTATTTTCCTAATACCCCCTTAGTTTTTACAATTTTCGAAAAACTCGAAATTTTCGTAATTTCCATTACATATTTTCGTAATTTTTTAATTTCCGTAATTTCTCAAAAAAATTTCGTTAGTTTTATAATTTTCTTTAAGTTTTTGAAATTTTCGAAAATTGGAAATTTCCGTATTTTTTTTTGGGGATTTTCGAAATTTTTTAATTCGTGTCATTTCTGAGATAATTCTTGTTATTTTCTAATTCCCCGTTATTTTTTTTAATTTTTGGAAAACTTGGTAATTTTCGTTATTCCCGCAATTTTTCGCGCTTTTTCCAGTAATTATTTATATTTTCAATTTTCCTAATTTCCAAAAAAATTGGGAATTTTCTAATTCTCCCTAAGTTATTGTAATTTTCGTAATTTCAAAAAATTGTGATTTCCGTTATTTTGGGAATTACCGTAATTCACGTAATTTTGAAATGTCTTTGTAATTCTTTTCCGTAATATTTCGTAATACCCGTAATTTTTGTAATTTTCGTAGTT